CTGTGTCCTGCAATTTTTGGTATGATTTCTTTTCATTTACCCTAATGTATTTATTTTATTTTATTTCTCTTGAGACTTACTCTTTGACCTATGGATTATTTAGAAGTGTGCTGTTTAGTAACGAACTATTTGGAGATTTTCCTATTAATTTTCTGTTATTGAGTTCTATTTTGATTCCACTGTGGCCAGAGAACATGTTATTTGATATTAATTCATTTAAATTTATGAAAGTTAGTTTTGTGGCTTAGGTTCTGGCTTATTTTGGTATATGTTTCATGAGTAATTGAAAAGAATTTCTGTTCTTCTGTTATTAGATGGCCTATTTTGTAAATATCTCTTAACTCCTGTTAGTCAATAGTGGTATTGAGTTTTATTATTTCCTTGCTGGTTTTCTGACTAGTTATTTTATCAATTATTGAGAGAGGAGTGTTGAAGTCTCCAACTGTAATAGTGTATTTGTCTATTTCTCCTTTCACTTTTATTAGTTTTGCTTCATATATTTTATAGCTCTGTTGTTTGGTGTACACATACTTATAATTGCTATGTCTTCTTGGTAGAGTGATTCTTTTATCATTATATAATGTCCCTCCCTACCTCTGGTAATTTTATTAACTCTGAAGTCTACTTTATCTGGTATTAATATAGTCAATTCTACTTTCCTTTATTCATATTTGCATGCTATATTTCTTCATTCTTTTATTTGCAACCTGTTTATATCATCATATTTGATATTTCTTGTAGACAGCATATTTTAAAATATATCAATCTCTATCTTTAGTGTAAATGTTGCACTGTTTGTTCTGACTGTTTTCATTTGTCTTTTTCCTTTTCCTGACTTCTGTGGGTTATGTGAACATTTCTAAAATTCCATTTTTATTTAGCTACTAGAGGCCCAGTGCACAACATTTGTGCACTGGTGGGTGGGGGTGGGGGTGGGTGGTGTCCCCAGCCTGGCCTGAGCCCTCTCACAGTCCAGGACCCCTAAACTGGCAGTCAGTCATCCCTCTCACAATCCAGGACTGCTGGCTCCTAATCGCTCACCTGCCTGCCTGCCTCATCACCTCTAACCCCTCTGCCTGCCTGCCTGATCACCTCTAACCACTCTGCCTGCCTGATCACCCCTAACCACTCTGCCTGTCTGATCACCCCTAACCACTCTGCCTACCTACCTGATCACCCCTAATCACTCACCTGCCTGCCTGCCTGATTGCCCCTAACCACTCTGCATGCCTGCCTGATCACCCCTAACAGTTCACCTGCCTCCTGATTGCCCCTAACTGCCTCTGCCTTGACCTGCCACCACAGCTTCATCCAGAAGGATGTCCAGAATGACGTCGGAAGGTCGTTTGGCTGTCTGGTGTAATTAGCATATTACACTCTTATTATTATAGAGGATATTGCTTTTTGAGTGTATCTCTTTGTATAGCTTATTTAGTGCTTGCCTTAGGACCTAGGTACTACATTATATATACATAACTTATTACAGTCTACTGATGTCAACACTTTACCAGTTCAAGCAAAGTATAGAAACCTTACTTGTTTATAAGACAATTGCTGTAAATATTTCTATATACATAATTTTTTTCTACATACATTTTTAACTACATCAGATAGTGTTATAATTTTGCTTCAACCATCAAACATAATTTAGAAATCCCAAGAGAACAAGAAAAATCTGTCATATTTATCCATATTTTTACTCTTTCCATTGTTCTTTTTTCTTGATGTTTCAAGACTCCTTATTTTACCATTTTCTTTCTTTTTATGAAATTTCCTTTAGTTATTTTTTTAGGGTATGCTTGTGACAAATTCTCTTATTTTTCCTTCATCTGAAAATGTCTTGGCTTCTCCTTCTTTCTTCTTTCTTTTCTTATATTTTCTTTTTCTCTCTTGCTCTGAATTCCAGAGAATAAGATGAATTCAGAGAACATTGTGTGTTATTTTTTAAAATATATTTTTATTGATTTCAGAGAGGAAGGGAGAGGGAGAGAGAGATAGAAACATGGAAGATGAAAAAGAATCATTGATCAGCTACCTCCTACATGCCCCTCAATAGGAATTGAACCTGCAACCCGGGCATGTGCCCTGACTCAGAATTGAACCACAACCTCCTGATTCATAGGTTGACACTCAACCACTGAGCCATGCTGGCTGTGTGTCCCTTCATTCCTGAATGGTATTGTCATTGAGTATATGATTTTGTATTGACAGTTCTTTTCTTTCGGTGAACAAGAAATATTGTGCCACTTCCTTCTGGTTTTGATAAGAAATCTGCTGTCATTTGAGTTGTTTACCCCTGTAGGTTAAGGGTTTCACTGCTTTCAAGATTTTTTTCACTGTTTTTTAGTTTTCAGAAGTTTGACTATGATTTGTGTTGGTGTGGATTTCTATGGATTTATTTTCTTGGGGATTTTCTCAGCTTCTTCAACCTATAGGATTACATATTTTGCCAAATTTGGGAAGTTTTAGGATGACTGCTTTGAAATCTTTCCAGTTCTAGAATCTCTGTCAACTCAGTGTTGGAATCTTTTTTTGTTTTTATTGTTTTTGTTAATCTTCACCTGAGGATATTGTTCACATTGATTTTTTAGAGAGAATGGGAGGGAGAGAGATGGGGAGAGAGAGAAAGAGAAACATCAATTGGTTGCCTTCCCACACGCCCCAGCCAGGCCAGGGATCAAGCCTGCAACTGAGGTACATGCCCTTGACCAGAATTGAACCTGGGACCATTCAGTCCCCAGGCTGATGCTCTTTTCACTGAGCCAAACCCGCTAGAGCTTTTTATTGTCTTTTAAAATTCAAGTTGAGACTTTCCTTGTTTTTGGTATGACAAGTGATTTTCAATTCAATCACACATTTGGGGTACTATGTTATAAGACTCTGGATCTTATTTAAACCTTCTGTTTTAGTTAGCTTATTTTGACCAAGTGCTGGCAGGGGAAGGAGAGGTGCCACCTTGTTATTGCCCGGTAGAGGTAGAAGTCCAGGTTCTCCTCCCAACCTCCACTAACACCTGTGGCACTAGGGACTCTCCAATTTTGCTGGGCAGGAGTGGGTGTTCTGGCTCCCCACTAGGCCTCCACTGATACTCTCCTGCTTGGGATAGACAGGGATGCCTTTCCTTCTCCCCACGTGGACATCACAGCAGAAGGGGTTCTCCTCATGGTGAAAGACCTGACTCTTCACTAGGCCTTCTCCGGCGTCTCCCCAGCATGGCGTGGGAAGGTTGTCTCATTACTTCCCAGTGGCTATGAAAGTTCTGACTCTCTATTTGGCCTTCTCTGACAACACCCCAGTTGGGACTGAGTGGGCACCTCGTTACAGCTAAGTGAGGGTGGAAATCTAGGCTCCCCGCTTTGCCTTTGCTGATATGAATGGTGGTGATATCATAATTCTGTTTGTTCTTGGTGTTTGTCTGGAGTAGATCAGTTATTGTATAAACGTTTTCAGTCTTTTTTTTTTTTTTTTTTTTTTTGTCCGCACCTGTTGGTACTGTGGGTTTTGGCCTCTTCGGCACCAAGATTAAAATACATGAGCTGGAAAGAAAACCCAGGGAACACACTTCTGTGTGGGTCCTATGTCCTGAGGTTCTGGGCCTGTTCGCCTTCTCTCTACCTTCCAGAGTCTTCTTACATTTGTTTTATATGTAATGTTCCAAGATATTCTGTTGTACTTAGCTGGGGGAATAGGGAAAAGTACATCTATTCCATCCTCCTGAAAATGAAATGTCTCCTCCTTTATTAAATGAAAAAAACTAAAGCTTTAAGGAGGGGACAGAACATGCCCAAGGCCACTTAGATAATTAACACGTTACTGACTTATTGCCTGTTATTTTGCCTTCTCCTACAACATTAATTTTGTTTTTTTTTACTACAGGAATTATATCTTCTTTTAAAGTTTTGGTTTCTGTTCAAGTACCAAATTTACTTCTTTGTATCCAGTAATTATAATTTAGTGATACTAAGTGACAGGCTCTGGGCTGAGTATTTTAACATGCATTTTCTCACTTAATCTTCATAAGAACTCCACAAAACAAATGTTATTATTCCCATTATATGCATGAGAAAACTAAGGCCCACAAAGGTAAGATAATGTATGTTCAGACAGCTGGCAAATATCAAGGCCTGGGTCAACCCACCGTAATAACTTGCTTTTGCAGGCTCCCAATATATCCTTACCTAATGAAAGATGGTTCCAGGGTAGATGAGTGAAAATTAGCTAGAGAGTGAGTAGTTGAGAAGAAAGAGAAATAAATCTGGACTATGTGATTTTAATTAGGTGGATTTAGCTTTAGATAGTAGACTCTCTGAGGGAAATGAAAGACATTGCCAAAAATAAATTCTGATATTTTAATGTCATTGATATTATTGTGCTTTAGCTGTGGTCCTGTCATTGCAGAAAAAGGATTTCAGGTTTGACTCTAATGCTTACTAACCCAAGATATAGCATTTGAGCCTATCAGGGCTATTCTTAAGAAATTTTTTAAAAATATGTTTTTATTGATTTCAGAGAGGAAGGGAGAGGGAGAGAGTGATAGAAACATCAGTGACCTGCTGCCTCCCGAAACCTAGCATATACCCTGACTGGGAATCAAACTGTGACCTCCTGGTCCATAGGTCAGCGCTCAGCCCCTGAGCCACGCCAGCTGGGCTAAGGGAATTTTTAAAACAGGAAATAATGACTAGAACTCTAGCCCATAGTTCCTAGGACCCCCCTTTTTTTATCATTTTGATTTCTTAGAGTTTTATTTTTTATTTTACTTTTTAATTGTTTTATTGCTTAAAGTATTACAAAGAGTATTACATATGTCTCTTCCCCCCCCCCGCCCTTGACAATCCCCTGGCCTCCCCTACCCCCCAGTGTCTTATGTCCATTGGTTATGCTTATATGCATGCATACAAGTCCTTCGGTTGATCTCTTACCCCCCCCCCCACTCCGGCCCCCCCACCCTCCCCGGCCATCCCTAGGACCCTTTTGTCTCAGAGAAGGGACTGGTGAGAATGTTTAGTGTCTCATCCAAAATCAGTGGTGGATGGCTTTTTCCTCTTCCGGGGACGGTGACTTCAGGCGCTCAGGATGTCCAGCATTTGTCATATCAGTGGAGGCTGTCCTACCATACAGCCTCTAACAAAACCAGGCTGTCCCAGGCCCCTGGTAATAGAACTGTTTCCCTTTACACCAAGAAGGTTGGAGAGGCGCCAAAATCTGCATGTGGCACGTGCCTAGGCCGACTTCGAACAGTTTGTGCTGTGAGACCTAAAGTTCTAGTGAGGTTATCTAAAATGAAAAAACATGTCAGCAGGGCCTGGCATGAATCCATGTGTGCTAAACGTGTGGCCATCGAGAGTGACAGTATCAGGAAAATTGTTGTGAAAGTATTGAAGGTACAAGCACAGAGTCAGAAAGCTAAATAAAAAAATAAAGCCGTTTTGCTGGCCGGAGTGCCTCAATGGTTGAGCAGTGACCTATGAACCAGGAGGTAACCAGTTGATTCCCAGTCAGGGCATGTATCCTCCAGGTTGCAGGCTCGATCCTCAGTGTGGGGTGTGCAGGAGGCAGCCGATCAATGATTCTCTCTCATCATTGATGTTTCTAGCTCTCTCTCCCTCTCCCTTTCTCTCTGAAATCAATAAAAATATATTTAAAAAATAAAGCTGTTTTGAATAATAAAAACAAAAGAAAAACCCCCCAAATCAATGGTTGATGATTTCTGATAAGGGAGTTTTGTCACAGTCTATCCACAGATCCCACAAGTTTTCCAGAAAGAAATCACTGGGGTATCTTAATGGATAGCGGGAGCAATGAAAGGAAGGGGTCTATTTGTGGCCCCTTTATTTAGTTCTTCTTCAGAGGTTTGGAGACTCGTATCCTACCTGAATAATCCCAGTCAAGAATGTTGTGGATGCCACCACACTCAGGGACTGGTTGTAGGCCGTGAAGAAGAGGGGGTTAGAGAAGTCCTCTTTGAGGAAAGTTCCCAGGATCAGGTGGCCATTGTTGAATGGGTACAGCGTCAGGACATTGATCGTCAGAGCGCTCACAAGAAAGAAGGCACCTATGAAGAAGATGTTTAGGCAGAAGGTGAGCGTTTAAGTCCAGGTAAACTGAAGCTATTGACAAAGTCAAGGCATGAGCTTATGTTGTGTTTGTCCTTTTCTTATTTGAAAGTGGCCATCGAGAGTAAGAAAGAGCAGGGAAGGAACTCTGGCCTCACAAACTGTGACCCAGTACAGAATTTAGATCTTGGTGGCCCAGGTATAAACCTCTATCATTATGGGCACACAGTGTGGGTCGCAGAGAGAAATTGACTGGAAATGTGTATCAGGTTCAGCTGCCGTGCCTGCTCTTAGAGTGATGAAAAGTGAGGTGGTGGTGAATATATCAGAAAACAAAGCTAACAGTAATAATAATAAGAAAAATAATACCTAACACTTAGGAAGGATTTATTTACTAGGTGCAAAATGACACTGAGCTAAACCTGTTTCAAACATAACTTCATTTAGTGTTCACATCAACCTACAACGGGAGCAAAGGCAAACCTTACTTTTAAATTACCTGATAGCCCTGGATGGTGTGCTCAATAGTTAGAGCGTTGGCCTGCACACTGAAGGGTTGTGGGTTTGATTCCCTGTCAAGGGCACATACCTAGGTTGCGGGTTCACTCCCTGCCTCTGGTAGGGTGCATGTGGGAGGCAATGAGTTGATGTGTCTCTCTCACATCAATATTTCTCTCTCTCTCTCTCTCTCTCTCTCTCTCTCTCTCTCTCCCTGTCCCCCCGCCCCCTTCCTTCTACTTTCTCTGAAAATGGAAAAAATATCCTCAGGTGAGGATTTTAAAAAAAAGAAAAAGAAAACAACACATTACCCGATAGACACAAAACCCTAATAGCTCTTATTACCAGTCTTTGGAAGTCATTGTAATGTGCCTTGGGGATGTGGGAATGAAATTGCTCTCTAATGTTTAAAAGTAAAATCGACACAATGAATTTTAGAAAAATATGTGCTATTGTCCTTTGAAAAGGCAGAGTAGCACTCCACAGCTAGAAGAATGGGATGGTCCCAGATTGAACAAACATCTGGAGAAAGTATGTCAGTCAGAATTATCAGCCTTGGTTGATAATTCGTGGGGAAGGCCAGGAAAAGGCGCTTCACTGGGTGAAGATTGACAATGCCCTTCCTAGACTGGTGGGGCATTTCGTAGTTTGATTTCTATGCAGGTTCACCTAGTAAATTTGCTGATTATCTGACCTTTAACTAGCTTGGTTCCTGTAACAGGTATTTCTGACTATAAAAGGGTAGATGGGTTTGACTCTGAGAAAGAAAGTGCTCCTCCTATGGATTTAAGTACTTTGATTACCATGGTGGCATTTTCTCATTGTAAATCAATACAGTGAGAAAATGATCATTATGAATTGGGCCCATGGCGTTTGGTTATCCTGGGCCCAATAGAAAGATGGATCCACACAAAGTATTGGCGGAATCGTTCCTGGACCTTTCTGGTGGAGGCATTCAGATCCCAGTGCCAGGTAATTTCACCAAGGAAAGTGCTTCTGTCCTTTAATTCCTTTGGGAAATAGCTTTCTGGCCTTTTTGCCTGGTGGCGACATTGATAATGACATACTAGAAGTGTTCCATTTCTAAAATCTAAACACTAATCCTGTGGCTAGAATGCCCATCCTCTGTCCCCTTTCTTCCTACCTTGCACATAGCTTTTACTTGGGTTCCTTAGCAATAGGTAAATAATTGAGGTGGGGACTTCACCACCTCCTGCGGTTCCAGAACTGAACTCACCAATAGACATTTGATGACATGATCCAAAAATTACATAAATTACTGAAGAAGTGAAAGCTGCATATGAGATATTGAGAGGAGGGATCAGTTGCCTTGACAGCAAACTAAACGTCAGGACTGAAAAGCAAGATAATTTAGGTAAGAAAAGGTAGCCTGGCTTTTAAAAGTCACGTTAAATAAAAACTGTAAAGAATGTTTAAAATGAAAATGATCTATGTATATGGCTGGCTGAGCATGGGGTTAGTATCCCTTGACATACAGCCTTTAATTAGTATCTTTCATTGTCTCCTTTGATTCCTAGCTTCTCTTCCTGTTGTACCACATGGTTTTATACCTCAATTCTAAATCATAGGCTTAAACACCTTTCCCTGTGAGGTCTTCATGCTAATCATGGAAAGCAAACATCACAGCAACTAGACCTCAACCTCCAACAGCTCAGAAGCAGCCCCCTGGCACCCCAGCCTCGTCCAGAGGCCCTGGTAATTCTCCAGGACGGAAGGCACAGCTGGAGAGCAAGGCAAGAATCCCACTGAACTGACTTGACTCCAAGTTGGTATGTGTTGTCTCTCTTCCATATGCTCATTACTCTCATCTCTTCTTTTAGCTCCTTCCTCAATACTTTCTTTTCTAAAAAGCACCATGAAAATCAGGAAATTTGAATCTGAGGCACTCAACTTAGATCATTCCAGTGAGCCCACTGAGCTGATTTATTGTCTTGGACAAGCAAGGCTCTTTTTTTTTTAATGGAAAAGTTAAAACATATACAAAAATAGAGTATAATGAAAACCATGTATCCACCAAACCTTCAACAATGGTCAATTCTTGGCCAATCTTGTTTTACCCATGCACCAACTCCCCTCCCACTCTATGTTATTTTGAAGCAAATCCAAAGACATGATCATTTCATCAGTAGATATTTCAGAATGTATCTTTAAAAGAAGACCCTATTTTAATGTAACTACAATATCATCATCATGCGTAAGAAATAATGGTTCTTTAACAGTATCAAATATCCAGCCAGTATTCACGTTTCCCTGCTTATCTCATGAACGGTTGTTGTGGTGGAGGGCCTCTCAGATGATCTGCAATGGCTAATTGGTTTTCATGCCCTTGTGTGATCCCCACCCCTTAAGTGTGGGATGGATCTTATAAGTTGCTTCTGATAAGTAGAATACAACAAAAAATGATAGGATATCACTTTTGATTTAGGTTGCAAGAAGACTGTGGCTTCTGTCTTGGTCTCTCTCTCTCTCTCTCTCTGTCTCTGTCTCTGTCTCTCTCATTCAGGTCACCAGCGATCAGAGTTGACTTCAAGGGTGTGACTGATGCAATCATATAGAGCCCTGGGCTTAGAAGCTTCCACACTTGGCTTCATGCCTTACTCTGACCATCTTGAAATTCTGAGTAATTTTTGAATGAGGGGCTCTGCATTTCATTTCACATTGGGTCCCATACAAGTAGTTGGTCCTGCCAGCTGTCATCTTGTGAGGACACTCAAGCAGCCACATGGCAAGAAAACCAGGCCTGTCAGCAAACACGTTGGTGGAAACTGACCCTCCAGCCTCAGTAGAGCCTTGAGGTGACTGACACCTTGACTGGAACCTCATGAGAGACCTTGAGCCAGAAGTACACTGGGTTTGGGGTTTGGGGGTGATCTTAAAGAAATCATTTGCTATTATATGTTGTGCTTTCTTTTACAATCTTTGTGTTTACATTGGGGCTCAAATACGAACTTCACATTGATTGATATATTTCTGAAGTCTCCTGTAATTTATAGGTTGCCCTTCCACATTTTTTTCTAAGCAAGGCTCTATTGATTGCAGAAACAGTAAACCTGCTCAGGTTAGCTTAAGCAAAACAGAAAATTTATTAAAAGAGTACAAAGGCAGCTGAGCCACATGAGAGACTGGAACCAGAACTAAAAAGCCACCAGGACTCAAGGAAGCTACTTTCCCCTTCTCCTTGTCTCCAGGTTTGCCTGGTCTCCTGCCTTGGTTTCCAGTTTGGGGCTATAGTGGACTATACTGCTATGAATATTTTTATACACAGGTCTCCTGGTACATAGATGTATAAGTTCCTTGAGAGAATATATCCTGCAGCATAACTGCAGGGGCATTTACCAGAAAATGCCAAACTGTTTTCTAAATGGTTGCACATTGCACTCCCACCAGCATTGAATGACAGTTCCCATTGTCTGCCTCTGTATTAGCACATGATACTGTCAGATTTTTAATTTTTAATGTGTATGAGCTAGTGTGTAATTTATTTTAATTTCAATGTTCACTTCATTGACTGCCAATAATGTTGATTAATTTCATTGTTCCTTACAGATTTGTAGGAGTATATATGTTACAGATTGTCATTTGTTGGGTATATTGTTACAAATCTCTCTCCCATTCTGTGGTTTGCTTTTCAATCTTCATGGTGTCTTGGAATGAACAGTTCTTAACTTTTACTTAATTCAACCTTTTATTTAACTCAGTTTGTCTTTTCCTTTTAGGCTAGTGAAAATTTGTTGTTGTGTTTACAAGACTGCTTTTATTCTTTTTTTTAATCCTCACCCAAGGATATTTTTCCATTGATTTTTAAGGAGAGTGTGAGATAGAGGGAAAGACAGAGAGAAACATCGATGTGAGAGAAACACATTGATTGGTT